ATAATGAGTATATATCTCAAGAGACGGGGACGAGTGGCGTAGTGGAATGAGGCGCAGCTATGACCAGATCGGACATAGAAATCCGCACCCCTGGGCCAACCAAGCCCTCTACCCTGCGGGCTGGTAAATTGGTACCAGAGTAATTTGGGAGGATGAAAGCACTGACTTGGTTAACGGGCCCCCGCAAGTCACTGTAATAGGCTCGCACGCGTACATCTGCCTCTTTGACTATGAAGTAGCGTGCGTTCGGCGCATGACCGCAGAGAGTATTGAAAACTCCTTTATCCTTTATCTCAGAAGTAGCAGAATGGAAACGCAGCATGTGATTTTGCTAACAAACTCGAAATAAGGGATATTTTGAAGTGCGATGGCGTCTAGCAGTAAATACATGTACCGTCTGGATTAACGTCTGTTGCAACCAAGGTGGCAGAGAAAACATGTGGCAGAAGACCGCAGAATACAACCATACAACCTCCCTTCCCCTTTCTCTCTCTCTCCCCCCCCCCCAGCTTCAGTAGTAGGCTAAGGATTTTTCAGTTAAAATTGAGCAAAGCTTCTTTCGCCACCAGTTTCATCGTGGAAGTTCAAAACCGCCAATTTTCTTGTAATAGATCCATTTCGGGGCTCTAAGACCGCTATAGTGTTGATAAGAGACTTCACTCCATTCATCTCTATGGCTGCGCTTTGTCGCCCCATCCGCCAAATCTCTGCTGTTTCTCATGCCCAATTCTTTTGCATATCATCGTATCCAGGAAGTCACGCTCTTTTGAATGAGCCTACTAGAGTGGCTGCCGGCTGAGATACAAGCCTGCAAAGCGGTGCAAGTCAGCGGTGAGGTGCAGGTGGGGTCATGTGCACGCACTGTCAAGAGCCATTTCCAGCAAAGAAACTCACCAGCACACCTCCGATGCATGGAGGATGGTAAAGAGCATCCATTTTACCCAAACAGCCTTTTGGAATGCCTTGAATAGGTTTCCATGCGAAGAAATTTGCTTTGAAAGAGAAAAATAGAAGTTGTTTTTCAAAAAAGCAATACACAAAATCCAAACTTGCATTTTTTGGAAGTAACTACTACCTGATTATTGCCCTCAATGAGCTCTATAATAGAGTATGCTTACCTGTCCGGAAAATTCCGTTTTTGCTTCAAGAAAAGACCTAAAAGAAATGTTTCGCGTTCGAAGAATTCTTGTCCGCGACATTGTGACGCGGCCATTTTTGGACTTTTTGTAGGAAAAGATTTTTAAAATTTTTAGGAATACATGTTTTCCAGAAAGCGCAATGTGCGGGTTGTAGCTCTTGAAGAGCTCTCTCACCCCATGCAATTCAGTCATTTTTTCATATTCGTTTTCCATCCGAAAATGAGCGATGAAAAAAGGAAGACGGCTTGTCCGCAACTTTTTGGCGGTCACTGTATGTGGAATGTCATTTTCAAACATGATTAACTTGTTTCAAAGGCGAGTTATCTACCTCGTTCTCCTCTCTATATGAAGCACTTTTCGGTCTTTCTCCACTGAGAGATTCCAATCAAAGCACCGTCAAACTATGGAATTAGGAGCCAGTCAAAATCTTGTTTATCCCTTTTTTCGGATGATTTAAGTTCAAAGTACTGTTGTGGAAACTAGAGGGTTTAGACAATCGAACTTGTGCACATCATTCGCTAAAAGTTTCTGGTTAAATTGATTGGATGCGGCACAATTCCAGAAAAAGGTACTGCCTCATTTTTTGCGGGTTGTGACACAGCATGAACCTACCTTCTAAGCATTCATATATCTAGTTTTTTTATCACTCGTTGAGACCAGTCTACCTTCTTCTCTTCACTATAGAAATTATAGAAATTTTATCCATCCTTACTACTAGCAGAAGATATAATTGTTATTATAATCCCATGGTTATGGCAAATATTGGGTTTATGGCAATTATGCTTTGCGCTACTTTGTATAATGCGAGGGAAGAAGAAAAGTATATTTTCGATAGCTCATGTCTCTTAGGGCCGCATGCACTAACATTCCCGCGGGAAGGGGATTGCAGCTCAAAAGAAAGCTTCATATTACAAAACTCCAGATACCTGGATTTCACAATGTATACCTATCCGTAAGTACTCCTACTACCCTTCACTATGAACAGGTTGAACAGGAGCGAGAAGCTGTACGAACCGCATTTTCCAGCCTTTGCATGATCCCTGATGATCCCCAGCGCTTTTCTTTGAAGTCATTTTTCTTTCTTTAAAGTTAACGAAAACCTTCCAAAGTTGTACTGGTTCTCTAACACGACAGTGCCAAGCATGTTACTGATGAGAACAGATGAGTTAAAAATCGAATTTTTCGATAAACCACAACTTTCGACTTGTGGTTCATCACAAATTTCATGACTCCGATACATCACTTGTTTTTATCAGCCACATGTAAGCAGTGTTGGGTTAGATAAGCTGCACAACTTTGGAAACTTTTCTTTAACTTCGGAGAAAGAAAAATGACTTCAAAGAAAAGCGCCGGGGATCATCAGGGATCATACAAAAGCTGGAAAATGCGGTTCGTACAGTTTCTCGCTCCTCTTCAACATGTCCATAGTGAAGGGTAGTAGGAATACTTACGGATAGGTACACAACGTGAAATCCAGGTATCTGGAGTTTCGAAATATAAAGCTTTCTTTTAAGCTGCGATCCCCTCCCCAGGGGGGAGGTTAGTGCCATGCGGCCCCTAGTTTTCACAAAAAGATTCAAACCTAATTTCTTCTCTATTTCAATGATAGTTGCTGAAAGCAGAACCATTGAAAGCGAAAATGAACAAACGAGATTGACTAGCACCTAATTCCTAATTTGAAGTGGAACTTCTTCGAAGAAGAAATAGTGCTTCGTTCCTGAGTGCAAAAAGAGGTAGTCAACTCATCTTTAAAACGAAGTTGGCCGTATTTGAAAATAACAATTCCACTTGGCTGACAAAATATTTAGAGCCTCGAATTCTTGAAACTTGATTTATAGTGGTGTTTTTCACATGCTGATTACGAAAAATATTCTCATTATGCTTGGCAGGACATCGTTATTATGCCTATTGTGGGTATCGATGATAGCCACTACTACAGGGTGTCCCAAAAAAATGTGAACACTGTTTGATTGTAAATAACTTCCTTGCTTTTATGTCTTTCGCCGAGCATAAGGCACCATTCTTTAGAGCGGGGTTCAACTTAGATCTGTAGTATGGCGCGAATCGTCGATCGCTCATCTTTACTGTAGGATTACGATAGGAACTTCGACAAGGATTTTAGGTTATTGGAGGCCATATTCTGCCTCGGAAGAAAACCAAACAAGCCAAAAACTCTTATACTATGGTAGTGGCAGCCGCTAATTTCGAATATGAAGTTTCCACTTTACTGCCATGCTTCTTTCCAAGGTTATCCCAGGTAAACCGTAATAACCGACTTTCCAGCATTTGTCAGAAATGTGATTACACCGTCAAAAAAGCTAAAAACACTTGTAAAAAGTTGTGCAACAGAATCAGCGTGCCCGAAAACCCTAGTATACGATTTTACAGATTTTTTGGAAAAAATTTTGTCAAATGGCATATTTCACAATAGATTCACATGCTGAAAGTTCATACCGTAATCCTACAGTAACGAAGAGTGATCGATGATTCGCTCCATGCTATAAATCTAAGTTGAACCTCGCTCTACAAAATGGTGCCTTAAGCTCGGCGAAAGACATGAAAGCAACGGAGTTATTAACGAACAAAGAGTGTTCACATTTTTTTGGGACACCCTGTATAAAGTGTGTGTATTTTGAATAATGGGCTCAACCGACGTCGCTAACGAATATCATGTTATATATTGCTTACAGCAGATCGTTTGGCAGCACTGAAAAGAACAAATCAAGGAGAATTGCAGAATGAACTTTGTATATTGAAAAATCTTTCATGAAGAAATGGTGGACGGAAGGAAAACAGATTTTCCACCAAATTTTCTAAAAAAAACATGCTCGAAAAACAAGCTGAGGCTAGGTGTAGGATGCACATTTGGTACTACATATTTTTGATTTTCAACCATTTGCATGGCCATAAATGTTCGAATTCAAGCAATCTATCCAGGCTAGAAAGACTTCCACGCGCAAATGCATTGAAATTCTCACATTTTTGGCTTCGGAGAATCACAGACAGCAGAGAAATATTTTGTTTCTTGTTTATTGTATGCAATCAAAATCTGCTCATCTGTGTACTCATTACAGGCTGATGAAAATTAGTTATTATATTTAGGAGGATAGCCATATAAGACATAATTGTCATTCATTTGTGACAAAAATTTTGTGCTTCGCACAAGAAAACCTTAGCTGAATAACTTTTCTTGAAAGCTGAATAACTTCTCTTGAACAGTTATAGAGCTTTGAAGTTGCATGTCATTGTCTGACTTATTTATTACCCAACGTAATATTCCTCAATATCATAGGTTCTGATATCGAGCATTCATTACGATAGCAGTTGTTGCATGGCGCAGCGCCTACGAGCGCTGATGCGGCGGATACCGTCACGAGTTCGTTGCCTGTATGGTGGCTATGATCGCAAATTAACCAAAATCTGTCAATCCTCTGAGATTTGCTGACGATAACTCTATATGGTTACTGAGCACCTATATTTTTTGCACATAAAACCATGGTAAAGTCATTGAAAATTTTTTGCCAATTTTTTTCACTAAATTTGAAGACAGATGTGAATATTTTGAGGAGAATGCTCCAAATTTCTAATGTTAGTATTCTCCCTAACAGAAGTCGATTACTCAACGAGCAGTTTACGTTTCCTATCTCACCATCAGCTCCGTCATGCAGCTGCCGTTGCGTCATTCCGAGCACCTGCACTAGCGGAAACGCGCCATCTTTGTCGTCAGAGTGCATGATACTCAAAACAGGAAGAAATTACGACCTTACTGCACGTTTTGGCATCTTGCCAATTCAATTTAGGGCGAAAATTTGATGGCATAATTGACCTTCACCTATTTTTGCACTATTTACAACCAGAATCAGATATAACCAACTTTCATTATGTACACAAATGTGATCAATCAATAAATCAATCGTACATCATTGAATCAGCAATAACAATCAATAAATCATTGAATGAACTCGGTTGTAAATCACTGACGTAGGGCAATACGATACGTGTACGGTAGATAAATAGGCATTTGCAGCAGTGTGGCGATGGGGAGCAGCGCGGGCTAGGGAGCATGCAATTCAAGAAAGAAAAACGAAGAAAACTCAATCAATAAATCAATAAATCGATACCCATGTGTGAGTGCCAACCACGACTAGGCATACTGTAGATGATGTGTATTTTACTGTGCAGTATATGTGCGTAGATCAGAAAGGGGATATGCGCCTTCATCGAGGCTGGCTGTATAATGAACACAGAAACGAGGGAGAGAAAGCTGCGTATGGGAGTGGATCAACATAACTATAATCGATCGATAAAACCGATCGATATGGGAAAACTGGAAGTGAAAAATGTAGCAATACACTAGGAAAGATAGAGGTAACGAGAATTTCTTTTTGATAGGAGAAATGGAGAGGGGAAGTTTCGAGTCCATCAGAAAGCTGGCGTCCTGAGAATTCGAATATAACAACAACGTTCGTGGAACAAACTCGTACGAGCCGATAGGGGCGTGGTTTGCCAACTCGAACCGTATCGAAATCTGTCCATACAGTTCGTTTCTACTTCTCTAACGAAAATTACGGTGGAACATAAGTGGGCGGCATCCTTTGGTTCGGAACGGTGGCAGCGGACCCTACTCGGGGTGAAGCGGCAGCCAAAGGTGGTGGTGGCTTGTACAGAGGATTTTCATGCTGGGATACCTAGAATAGTGCTTTTACTCTTATTTTCTTCGTGTCAGCAAATCTCCAAAAACTGGCCCATTGCCAAGAATTTTTACAAACCTTCAGAGGCGGTCGCTCTTCCTTAGTAAGCATAGGTGTAGCAGCATGTGCCATCTCAACATCTTCAGCCACTTCTTCAGGAAACACTACTGGCATTCCTTTGCCCATGTAGTCGGATGGCTTTTCCTAGAAAAAAAGATATGCATACGGGCGAGTGACTTGATGTTTGAGTGGGTAATTGAACACCGCACAAAAAATATTATATTGAACAAGTTTTGATAGACTGTGTTGCTTGTGAAACCTGCACACTTTCAAGCGGAATAGATAGCGTTCTGAGATATCTTGATCCGTACCATTAAAGATTTACAAGGAAAAGAGCACAAAGATTGCCACAAAACTACAAAAGCAGTAAGTAGTAAAAGAGTTACTGTAGCTACAGTAAACTGGTACAAGTACTACAGTACATTACCGTAACGGACATTCAAAGCTATTTCTCCCAAAGAATAACAGCTCTAAGCAAGACAAATGACTGTTAACAAAAAGCTAAAGGATTACTGTAGGCATACTGTAGCTATTTGAATTAGGAGCTTCCATTTTAGTCATTGTTAAAGTGTCGATAGTTCAGTAATCAATCAAAAAATTGTCGGTTATTGCTCTATATACAAGTGACGGTTCAAAAATATTACTGGAGCGGAGGGAGGATGGCATGACAAAAAAATTTTATCGAATAAAAAGGAGTGGCACTGGTCACGTCTTCTAAAAAGAAAATTTCAGGTTTCTCAAATTTTGGCGGCGTATTAACCTCCAAATTTTTAAAAAAGGTATGCGAAGGTAGCCAAGCCGCGAGAAAAATTTGAACAAGTTTGTTTGGATTTCGGAAAATTCTCAGAAAGCCTTTTTATGAGGAAGAAAAAACAAGTTTCTTGCGGAATCTTATACATAGAGGATCACAACGCCAATTTAAAAAAACCAGGCAGCGGGAAACGTGGTGCGGTCCCGAAACGCGCGAATGCAAATCTAGCACCTTTAATTAATGGCACCCTAGTCTTATAACTCATGAAGCACTTTCAAAAAATTCGGGTCTCATTTTTGAAGGGAGGAAGTCCTCCTTTTTCCGTCAATGCTATCTATTTCTAGCAATTAGCGAAATGATTGATTCGTGCGCTGAGTATAGCATGGGTATAATTTTATCGAATTACAAATAAATAAGACTGCTTATCGTCGAGTCATTCGTAGCTTAATATGCGTAGTGCACACTGTACAAGCTAAATGACGAACTGCAGAAGTAGAACCTGTTCCTTCCAGTGATTTTTTCTTGATTCCTTGTTTTTTTTACTGGTTATATGTATACATTACTCAACAGAACATATTTCTACACTTTGTTAGGCTAAAAAGTGTTTCACTGGAAGGTTAGTAAGGCTGCCGTCGCTTATAGGGAGTAGTGTGCAGTCTCACATATTGAGTTACAAATGGCTTGAGTATAGAATCTCGGTACAGATCAATTCCAATGTGATTAATTGCATAAGCGAATTTTCTAATTTTCCAACACTTGTTGAAAATTCTCACCTTTTTCTTGTTTTTCCTCATAGCACTGCATACAGCCACAATCAAGATAGTAAGAAGAAGAACAAGAATGAGCACTCCGAAGAAGACGGTCCATGGGAATGCAGCTTGGTCGGCTGCTTCCATAGTGGGCGCCGTAGAGACTGGCTCCTGGAACAACACGGACTCTCAGCTGGGGCTGAGCAGAAAAAAAGCTGAGCGACGAGCACTCGACGCACCACTTCCTTGTCCAAACAGCTGCCGGTCAGCTCCATCGAAGCCTTACGAACGTGGAACTGTGAGCCGACTTGCTTGACGAACTCGATTTTCGTTGTAGAACGTTGTCGAGTAAGCATTGTGTGACGAATGCTGTCGAGAGCTGGATGAGCGCATGTCTGAAAAAAATATTGTATATATAATTATATTTATAAATGAAGATGAAGCTTGAGGTAGCTGAGTCAAAGCTTCCAAAAAAATTCTAGAATTTTTGGAGATTTGAGGTGAGTGCGAGATTTTCAAGGAACCAAAAGCATTTTTTCACTGTTACATTAGATTGAACCAGAAGTTTTGCCTGTTTGTATTTGGGAATTCAAGTATTTGCCCACTATTGTACGAATTTTTTTCAAAATAAAAATGGTTGAAAATAAAAAAATCATGCGCTCTTTAAGTACCTCTACTCATAATCAAAATTAGAAGAGGACCATTCTGACTTCGACTGCTTCGATAAATCGTCAACATCCGAATTTTTGCACAAACCCATTTATATTACATATTACTATCATTATTTACATTTATTGATTCATACATTGTTGTTATTATTTATATTATCTTTATGGGCCTTTATGAGTTCACCCTATAACTGTGAACAGCTTACTATTCAACTAAAATACTGATTAACATTTCATGCAAAAAAAAATTTGAAGGTCAAAATAGCGTTCTTGCGTAACCGACAACATTTGCGCGTAACTGCAATGTAAGCCCCAATTTCAATGATTATAGCTTTATTTCTGTTGTTAATTATTTCTCTTGTAATGAGTAGATTGCATGATCCTCTACGGAAACTTTTTTTTTTGAAAGTCACGCTACCTAGAAAATTTTTTTCTGAATTTTTGTTTTCTAGAACGTCTATTTTCTTGAGTTCCATCGGACTTGGTTAAACACTTCATGGACCAGTAATGGTATGCAAATTTCCTAAAGATGCTGAATGTGGTTAAACCTCTTGGTTTACCCTCAATTTTTTTCCGACAACTATGTTTCAATTTTTTTTGTTCTCGGTGAAATTTAAGACGTCCGCAACAAGAAACATAAATTTTTTCCCCGCGCAAATGTTGTAAACATCGCAGGGTCATTTCTTGAGCGTCCAATCTACCAGACTGTATTAGTCACCCTGGTAGGGGCAAAAAAAATTTTGAAGGGAAAATATGAAAACTTAGAGACGGCATGATACTACGGAGAATCAAATGTTCAAAGATATGGGGCCTTTTGCTTTTTTCACCCTCAAAACATTGTAAAATCAATTTCATCAAATACCTGAAAAAAAACATTTATGAAAATTTTACGGGATCACGCTCTGTTTAACTCCCCCCCCCCCCCCTACCCTCTCTTAATGCATACAAAGATGCAAAATCTCTATGTATCCATTATAACTGCCGTCTACCCATTCTCCCTTTTCCCGCTCTCTCTTCTTTTTTTTCCTATTTTAAGTACCCTCCAACCTCTCTTCCCCTCTCTTTGGCAAGGACGCCCATAAAGTTATTAACTAGTTTCCGTACATCAGGTCATGATATGATTGTGGCAGGACCATGGGCTTCACAGATATTCTGAACTTTCTAAAAGTCCCTAACAGCTGGCCATAACTCTAACTAGCATTCGTATTTTGCCTCTATGGCTGCAAATTTCATAGAAAAACGAGCAAAATCAAATTTACCCTTACCTTATGCGGTACAGTGTTGTTGCTCCAGATAACCAGACTCTTCGTAGCATTTCCGGTAATATTCCGGATGGTGATTGCGTCAGGATTCGAACGGAAAGCATGCGCAATTTGTTGGGCCAAAGCGGACAGTGACGACGGTTTTGTAAGGCGTGAAAATGGTGTATCCAACTCCAGAGACACGAGATGATTGAAGGGAAATGAGGGAGTGACGGATACTTTGAACGGTGCTGACGCCATCTGAAAAAGGATATAGTGGAAAAAAGCTGTAGAAGTCGCATAATGCGATTACCGTAATCAGTTTCTTGTTGGGACCAAAAAAGAATGAGAAATCTTCTTGGATTTTGCTCTCTTAACCCCCAAAAGGAAGAGGCACCAACTTTGGGGTAAGTTATACTAGAAAGCTAACCCTACTAAGGTAACCGACTCAATTTCATCCCCATTACGGTAGAACTTCTCATGTCATTAAAAACGTTGAAGTATCCTAACCACGACTTGGGTAGGAAGAGTTAGGGCCTCATTCTGTAAGGAGGGTAAAAATTTTCATTGGTAATGTGCCAGGCTATAGTTGCCATGAACCGTTTGATGCTAACCGAAAGGTAAGATTTTACCGTGGGGAAGTCTGATTGAGAATTTACCATTAGAATGAACTTACAAGTCAGATTAACCACGCAATTCTAATTCAAATAATGGTGGTAAGGTAAGGGTAAGATGTCGGTTGATTTGGGTAAGTCTTTGAAGAATACCAAGTTAGGATAGAACAAGAAACGTAAACCTCAAAGAGAATCTGTAGCTTTGAATGAGGCATTCAGTGTTAACCTAGTAAAGGTAAAAGTTTCCCTTGGGTAACCTACCCTAACCCAAATGATCATCTCTGCCTCACCTGTCCAGCCTTGTCCCTGGCTTCAAGTCGATACTCGAACTCCCCCTCTTCAAACGGGACGCCTTTGACCTTCTTGTGATCGTAGAATAACCAGGATTCCTAAAAACGAGAAAAATCAATTATCGATTGATACATCACCCCTAAAACTACTGACTGATACTCAACCAAAGTCAAAACTTTAGCTCGCCCATAGAATCTTATCGTTATGCATCGGCTATGACGTAATATGCAAACATCGCTACTTGCTAAGGTCATGTTGTGCGTCCGCTCACACAGAATCAACGACTTATTGCGCATACGGAAAATCAATAAAATCAATAAGTACCTTGTTGCCCAATGGCTGTACGGATAGGCGAAGTTTGAATGTATCACCGTCTTCCACATCTTTGAATGTGCTTTCCGGTATTGTCATCTCACAGTAGACACCGCTGGAAGAGAAAAATTGATATAACCAGGTTACCGTACATAATTCTTGTTCGGACCCACAACAGAGTGAAATCTATTTAATTTCTTCTCTAATTGCTGTTCACAAGAATCAACCTTTTTCAACGTTGGAAGAAGTCATATAGTGCAATTACAGTATCTTTTTCTTTTGAGCCCACAACGAATAAAATTCTCTTTTAGCCATCAAACAAGTCTTATACTGCGATTACAGTACTCTACTTATTGCTGAGTCTAAAAAATCAAAACTCTTTTAATCTTAGATGAAGTTACACACTGCGATTACCGTACTCTCTTTCTTGTTAGGACCCACAACAAATAAAAATCCACTTCAGCCGCGCACTCTTTTGCCCCCCTCCCCTTCCCCCCCCCCCCTTCGCCAGTGCTCCAACCTCGACCTATCCATACCCCCATTTTTAATCCCTTCTGCCGCTTCAAATCAGGCCAAAGCTCCAATTTCTCGCATAAAACCCATGAAATGACCCTATAACAATGGCGTCAATCTGTTCCCGATGTCGACATATGTGATAGTGATCGTGGTCGGGCGGTGAGGAAGGGCATCTCATTTCAACGACGGGGTGTAAATCCCCCGTTTTGGTCATCAGGGAATCGTATTTCATTGGCAGCAATTGACGCACAGCATTGCGCCGGTCCATGTGTGCATGTGCATGTGTGCAGCTGCCCACTACTATATACGTTGAAATGTGCGTAAGATGCGCAGGCATTTAGGGATTACTGTAAAAATAGGGGCATGCTGAGATACAAGCAGATATTTATCATGCTACAATACCCCTAAAATTTCGTTGCAGAAGGAATGCTCGCGAGAAAATTATAGACATGCTTTGAAACAGGAAGGTACTATTGATGCTACAGTACCCCTAAAAGTTCGCTGCAGGAGTACTACGTGATGAAAGGGAGAAAATCCTCTCATAATTAGTATTTTCACGTTGTAACTTGTGCAAATATTTCACAATACGTCTTACGTTCACCACGATGAACCGCCCAAAAAATCGCCAATACTTTTCTATATTCTAACACGACATGGTTGGTCCTCTCTTGATTAAGTGGATTACTGTAAACGCGAGGCATGTTTTAACAGTTCACACTATTAGTAGCTGAGGAGTGTTACATGTAAAGTATGCACAGGTGGTGCACAAGTCATCATGAAAGAATGCCGCGCTTTGCACATCCTACAGTAAACATGGGTATTGATCGAAGTGGTAGTAATCTCAGAAGCAAATACAGTAATCATGCATTGCCATGTCTATTGAACCGCGCCAAGTTTAAAAAATTAAGAAGAGTTTTACTTGACAAAAAAGCGAATTTTATCTGAAACCTAAGCATCATTGGTCCCACAACGAATCTCTAAGGGTACTGTAGCATTTCAAGCGTCTTCCCATAACTTCCGCCGGTACAATAATCCCAACTCGATATTGCCCTTACTACCACCATATTACTACCATGTTCTATGAGACTATCAACTGATATAGGTCGTCTATTGATGCTACAGTACCCCTTGAAGTTCGCTGCAGGAGTCCTACGCGACGATAGCGTCTCATACACAATATTTTTGCGTTGTAACTCGAGCAAACATGTTACAATATGTTATTATAACATATCTATCCAGGGTAAGCCCCCATTTAACCCCGTCCCCAGCCCATCTATGTTATAACCCCCCCCCCCTCCAATTACTGCGCCGAAAACATCTGTTCGGTAGAGATTGTCCGGGCCGGCTGAAGATGTGTGCCGGTGTCATGTCATTGCGACGACAATGTCATGTCACACTGGCACTCGGCCAGGAATTATTCAGACACGCACACGCATCTCTCACAGACCGCTGCGCTACACAGCACACAATACGAAATCGCATAATGCGATGTTGCTGGTGAATTGCTGATGAGCGGCGGTAGCGGTGCGATTGGCATGGCAATTTAGATGTGACTCGAATTGTCTAAGAGGGAAGAGTCTTTGTGAAAGGGCGGAGGAGGGGGGGGGGGAAGTTGTCGGGGATGGGGAAAATACCGCGAATCTTTGCTCTAGTGCTTAGTAGCCCTATTGGCAGTGACCTAAAAGAGCACGATCGGGGCCGAATATCAAACGGATTAGCGATGGAACCATCTTCACGATGGGGTGTGTTCGGAAGCGTTGCGTGGGAACAGCCCTAACATCATTATCTGGGAGAAATGGAGCTCGGGGTGACTAAGGACAGCTTTTTTAGAAGTCGTGGAAGCTCACTGGAACTGCTGAAATACTGCCAAATTCCCTTTGAGCTAAAAATTATAAATTCGATTCTGATAATCTTTGGAAATAAACAGAGCAAGCCTAACCCAATTCCTATATCGACAACAACTGCCAATTTGGTAAAATTTCAGAGGCCACGCCCCTTCTGACATCCACCAATCACAAGATGTAGCCGACCATTCACAAAGCCAAGAGAATTTACACCAGCTCCGATTTAATTCCAATTTGCTCGGTATGGGGGATCGTGGTAAACCGACGAATTTCCATTCTACTAATAAATTGCGCCTATTTTTGCAAAAAAGAAGTGATAGCCTGTGCTCCCACGCAATCCACCAATCACAAGGTGTATGTAGCCGACCAATCATAAAGCCGACAAAATCTACTTCAACTCCTAATTAATCCCAATTTGCTTGTAGTATGGTAGACTGTGGAAAACCGATAAATTCCCATCCTATCAATAATTTACGCCTATTTTTGCAAAAAAATGATGGGCACCCTCCCCCCCCCCCCCCTCTCGCGATCCACCAATCACTCCTGTTTAGCCGACAAATTATAAAACCGACAGAATTTGATTTAGGTATTATATTGGCAATTTTCTTTCAGTAAAGTAAGTTGTGGTAAAGTAGCAAACTTGCATCCTAAAATCAAGGATACGCCAATTTTTACAGAAAAGACAAGCCGTGCTCGTGACCGCAATCCGCCAATCACGAACTGCCTCAACCAATCACAAAACGGAGACATTACGTACCGCACGCAAGTAAATCCTGACAGCGAGTTTAACTTCACTGGCGGGTTGTCCACTTTACGTGTCGTCCTCGATGTTGTGACTTCAGTGGTCGTCGACAACTGTAAAAATTTAGGGCGGAGTGAGTTTGTACGTAATTGCAGAATTTGTACCTTGCTGGCGGTTTGGGTAGATGTTTCAGCTTCAACCTTATCCTCACTTGAAATAACGCGACCTTTAGTGAGCTGAAAAAATGAGATTTCAGAATTTTGAATAAAAATTATTGAGACAGGATATTTTCAACAAAATTTTCAAAAAAATTGTAAAAACGTACCACTACATAGTCGTATTCAATACTTTCTACAGCTGTGAGGAATGCATCCATTTCGCTGGCTGCTGTTTCAAGATCATCCCCACAGGCTACCTACAAAATATATTGATTATCGATTGATCACAATCCTACGGTATTCTCGATTTGTTACCTTTTTCATTACAGTATATGCTGCCACTTCATCACCACCTATAGCTTCTACGCTTCGGATCGTTCGGGAATAGTTATAGGATAAAACCTGATAATATTGATTGAAAGTAGATTGGTATCAATCAATAAATCAATAAATTAGGCGTTTACCTTTAGTTCAGAGACGTCAACCTTCAAAGCTTCAGCCACATCCAAGGCGGCATCAAGGCGATCCTCAACCTGAAAACATCGTTTTCAAAAGTCCTTTGATTTTATTTGGGTAAATTAAGGCTCTAAATCAATAAATCAATAACTACTCGATAGCGCACCGGCCCATCTTCTTCATAGAGCGCTTCGACCCAGTAGGTGTCCTCACTTCCGCATGGATTACGATTGTCTTCCTTGACGATTAGTTCAAGTACCGACACCGGCTTTGATTGTGTTGAGATCTGGGAATGGGAACAGTCATAAGGGAAGACAATGATTCATTTGGGGAAAGTGTGAAATTACAGAACATCATAAACTCGGTAAATGCGCATAAATTCTCCTATTAATCTTGGGTTTTCCTTGTAATATGCCTCTTTCTTTAATTTTCAGGAAAAATTTGCTAAAAGTTATTTTTCTGAACTGTCCACAATCCGAAGGCGGTTAGAAAATTTTTCAAGGAAATTTTTGACACCTTATAGGGTAGCAGGGTAATCAAAATAGAAAAATCTGTGTTTGAACAACAGAGGCGTGTGAATATTTCTTTGGAATTTCCGATTTCATATAGGGTACTCAAAAAAAAGAATATGTTTGAAACTCAAAAGAATAATAGAGGTACGGAAAATTCTGATATTTTCAAAATTTTACGGGTACTCGAAAATGAGGAAACATGCTTTTAAACATGGTTGAAAGTCTTCTTTCCTAAACAATACCTTTAAAATTCTCCAAAAATGCTTTGAAAAAATCTTTATGTTGAGTCACCTACAAGGTGCTTTCTCTTCCATTCAATTTGAACAATTCAGCCAGAAATATTCTAATTCTTTCCCTTTTTGGGAATCCCTTTCATTCTTTTTCAAACTGTTCCGATTTCCCTAAGCAGTAGGACGAAAGCAAAAGAAAGATGAAGAGGATTTCAACATTTTCTTTTTCTGTTGTAAGACTACGAGGTTTATTTATTTATTATTTGAATTTTCTACCTTCATTTTTTACGAATTTTTTCTCTTTTTCTCACACATTCGATTCTTTTTTCTGGCTTCCTAAATCATACTGAAACCTTCTTTCTTACCTTGAGTATATGTTTCCCCAAATCCTCTTTGGTTGGGATCCCCTGCAAGACCCCATCGCGGACGAGTAACCATGCTGGTAAACCACCCGCAGCGCTGACCACCGTCTGAAAATTCCTGTCATAATTCAAATTCTCTTGCAAAAACATCTCATAAACCCGGTAAACAAACTTAACACGAGGCCTTATCTTTGGGACTCAAAAGACTAAACAAATAAACAAGTGGCGGACCTTTTGTGATAGCGGCTTTTGATAGACTTGGCCGACATAGACGAGTTCTCGCATTGCTGCTGCCGCCACGAACACTGGCAGCAGTAACAGCAGCCACATATCCTGAAAATTATTATGTGTGATGACAGTGTCGTGACAATTAGAGTACGGTATGGGCATAGACGAAAAAGTGGGTTTGAAATATTGAAACAGCGCCAAAAAGAAGAGCAGCTTACGAAAAATTGGGGATAAAATTGTCGAAAAAGGTAGGATATCTTGCTGTATTATGTACGGTAGTATTACGGTAATGGTGCGGTAGCCTCAGAAAGTGGCAAACTAGGATTTTATGAGGAAGTAGTCCTTGACATAAGGGTAGCAGAAAATGAAGAGGGATATGAGAAAATGGAGATAAAATTGTTGAAACGAAGTAGAAGATTCTGCCGAACGATTACGGTAAGCATGTTGGACGGTAATAGTACGGTAGCATCAAAAACTGATGAAGTGAGGAAAATCTCAGAAATTAGCCCCAGCATACGAACTACGGGAAGAGAAAAGAGAAATATGAAAAATTGATGATAAAATCTTCAGGAAAATTGAGATATTGTGCTGTATCACGGTGGGTATGGTAGTTTTACGGTAGTGATACGGTAACTTCAGAAAGTGATGGAATGATTAGAAAATTTTTCTCGTTTTGGGAATGTACATAGTAAACAGCTAATGTTAACAAATAGTATCAAATGGTGCGCCATTCTGGTAGGAAATTACGGTAGGTACGACAGCTACGGTATTGGTACTGTCACCTCAGAAAATGATGAAATGATCCGAATTTCTTAGCTTATCTCCCCAGTAAAAAGTTCATCCGTTATAGAAAACAACTTGAGAGTGAATTTTTCAAGATTATGTGCAAAGTATGTACATATAAGGCGGCTATGGTGCACTTTTACAAGACCAAAAAGTTATGGTACCAAATCAAATTTCAAATTTGACTCAATTTCTCAATGTTGACTCCCGAAGTGAAAAAGACGCTAAAACCATGACCGTAAGAAATCACACAACAGTATGGCAGTAAGTTGGCAACAGCTGAATACGATTAGCGACAGATTGGCCATATAAGGACAATGAGAAGTGAGGCGGACCGCCACCGCCGCGCACGACGGACCAGAGGAGGCGCGCCGGGTTGACCCGCCGCCTTATGTGCACGACGGTCGAGGTCCATACCGAAAGAGGCACTGCTGTGGCATGACTAAGCGAAACAGGTGGTCGTCGGTAGCTGTCATGCCTCCCCCCCCCCCCTCCAACAGAATCTCTCAGTCAACCCTGAATCAGGCGCAGACAGTGAAAGTGCCAATATGATGCACATGCAGTCACGCCGTGGATGTGCGCGCTTGATTGAGTTACGATCTTCAACTGTCACGCCCATTCCCCCTTTGAGAGGACGGGGGGGGGGGGGAGGAGGAACGAGAGGAGTCCTTTTGATAGTAGTCTTTTGAATAGAAGGTTGATGTTGTCGGCGGATGCACTTGCGATGCGCAGGAGATGTTTTCGTCAGAGCGCCAGAAGATTAAAGGTCGCGAAAGTACAATAGACGTATGTGCAGCCATAGCTAAAGCTGGAGAATGAATGATAAAAAAAATGTTAGAAGAAAAAATCTTGGAAAAAGGGTTCAAAAAGAATATCGAAAAATTCTACAACATTTTGGAACACTAATTTCACGCCAAGGTGGATCAGAAGATCATTTTCTTTATTTTTAACTTTTTTGTTTTTTCTTTTTTTGCTCAAAATCTTGCGTATATCACATGAATATATAATTCAAAAACTTTATTACACAAAGGACATACCGTAATTGTCATCTCTAGGTACGGTATTGGCCTTACTGGCTTCTCCTTTATACTTTGAGAATTTTCAGCATATTAGTTGACGTCTTAAGTTCGGTATTGTGTTGCATCTAGCAAACCATGGCTTCTTTTCTCGTTGGTGCTAAAGGCAATTTTTAATAAGAAAATTTGAAAACTCCAAAACAATTTTTTGGCCATATCGGGAGAATTCAAACACTTGTTCTTAATCTTAATCTCAGAATTCAAAAACTTTTTCTTTGATCTTCAAATAATACCCAAGTTGACTAAAAAAAATCAGTTAAAATTTGTGGTCTAATTCCACTGGAAGTTTCAATGAATTCTAACTTCTAAAGTTACTTTTTTTAGCCATTTCCAACTTTAAAATTTTCTAGAAAAACTACTAATTATGCAGAAGTACCCAAAACCCTTCAAAATCGAAACAATCCACGAGTCGAGCGCGACATTTGACCTTTAGAAATCTAGAGTTCATTTTCAAGGATAAAATCAACTGAATATGTGTTGGTTTTTCTAGCAGCAAAAGTGGCAAATTTGCATTTCGCGCGAGAAAAGAGGCCGAGTTTTTCTGAGAGTTTTTGCTACGAAAAAGAAATTTCGCAAGTGTCTGGGAACACTTATGCGGTCGATGTGAGCGTCAAGTAAAGGACAAGAGTAGGTAGAAAAAAATTACAGATAAACTTTTGGAGGTAGGTAGTGACCAGTGAAAAAGTGAGAAAAGGACAGAAAATTTTGCTGGAGAAAATCTCAAGTGAACTGGAAAAATCAGAAAAAGAAACTTTTTCGCTCAGTTTTCTGGTAATTTGTGCAACTGCAGACCTATTGGGAAAAGGCTGAAAAGCGTGCTTCCAAGGATCTTTGAAAATTATTTTTGGATATTCGGGACTATTCAGCTTCATGAAATTTGATTTTATATGCGAATCAACGAAAAATAGAGAAAATACTTTCTTTTTTCTTTCTTTTTTCCAATTTTTTCAAAAATTTTCGACTGAAATTCAGCCGTGGAGATTCTAGCTAAAGTTATGATTTTTCGAGAGAGTGACAGTTTTTCAAAATTTTATTTTAAATCGGCAAATTTTTCAGACTCAGGAAATAAAAGCTACGTTTTATTCCTCTTTATGTAATTGGTGCAATTGCAGACAGCCTAAAAGCGTAATGTTGATCTGTTTTGGTATTTTTCCAAAATTGGAAATTGTCCAACTTCACGATACTATATTATGATTGATCAAAACTAGCTTCAATATCATAAGAGAAAAAAATTTTTTGTTGAAAATTACAATTTTTTTCGAGTTTTGGATTGAGATTCCAGTTAAATTTATAAATTTTTTGAATGGCAGACTTGTGCAAATCTTTCGAGAAATTGGCAATTTTCCAAAGAATTCCCCAAACAAGATATAAAGGCTACACTAGAAAATGTGCATCAAATGTCAATAGTACGATCCAGCCGCTAACTGGTACGCAATCCAAATTACAGAGCATCGTTCGCATTTTGAGCTGAAAACACACAACTATACGCGAATTTACAGAAAAACTTGTAATTCAACATTGAGTCAACGTTTAATCGTCGTCCCCCATAATCTACGTACATGTCATTATGATGCATATACATGAAGTAAAGAACAAAAACCACAGATTATTCACCATAAAATGCACACATGCACCCTGACGAGAATTTGCAGAAAAAGTGCAACGAATCATCGTGTGCTTATGGAACGCATGGTACCAATCCCATAATTTGGAACAGCCATAACTGGGGAGGGGGTGAGAAAGAATGTGGGGCCGATCGTGGGAAGGAGTAGCGCCGTGATCAGCGGGAACAATAGCCGCATTCAAACTACTTCTGCTGTGGAAAGTGGGAAGGGGGGGGGCTGGATAGGGAGGAATTACTGGAATTTGGGAAGCTACTAGCCCTGGGAATAGCGCTAGAGCATACAAATTTCAGCATAAGTTCTGGCAGAATGATGGAGAGCTAGGCGGATTAAAGCATCAGTGGACGCACGGACCGAAACCAGTCCGTCCGTCCAGTCGGCATAGAGGTCATGAAAGTAGGAATTTCAATCAGTTTTGCGCTATAGAATAGATACTCTATGGCATAGATTACGGTAGTAAAAAGTGTGATCTACGGTCTTCATGAAGTTTGAAACACTTCTAATCAATAGAAAATTAGTTTTGACCGGTCTGTACTATAGGAGACTGTAGTACAGATTACGGTAATAATAGTCTGATATACCGACTTTTTTTGAACAGATATTGAATTGGTCAAATTTGGATGCTATTTTCCATTTCATTTGATGATAGTTTGGTAGTATCAAATATAAGAACTTTTTTTTAAATGATGGCCTTATCTGAGATCATTTTTCAAATCCCGACTAGTGAACCAGTAATCTAAAGGTGCTATTTGCAAGAGCGTTCGCTTCGGGACCCGCCGCGGTTTCCCGGTATTGGAAGATTTTTGAATTGAGCTAACGATTCCTTAGATATTGAATGATTATTGACCCTAGACGTTTTGACCTAAAATCTGTTTTGTGATAATCTATTTGAAACTTTTTGGGTCAAATAATTCTATAAATTGGATAAATCCTGATTATGAGATCTCAGCAGTGATCATTGAATAGTTATAGAAAAGTAATAAAAGCTTTTTGTTTGTGAAGATGGCATGATTTATGGCTCCTGGGACAACAACACCCAAACAAACTGATTTGGGAGCAATACAGTAATAAGTTGTTTACGATCATTAGTAATTATTTACACCCTTCCATTACTTTCGTATAGAGAAGACAGCAGGGGAATTTATTACTTTACAAACTGTATTTTATTTATTTTGCCCTGCTCATGCAAAAATACCAAGATGCATTAAAAAAAAGGACGAATGTTAGCAGTAGTTCAGCAGAAATGACATAGTATGGAAACTGTTCCCCACGCTTTTATTACTTCTTTTGGAGATCAATAAATCAATATGATTTGTAGAGAAAAAATTTCAAACGTGAGACTTATTATTTTTGAAAATATTAAAATGTACAGGAATTTGATGCAAAATTGATATGGTTGAAAAGAAAACCCTCATAATTTACACTGTTTCTATCAGAGCACTAGTGAACCAGTAATGTAAAGGCGCTAATTGGAAGAGCGTTCGCTTCGAGACCCGCCGCTTTCCTGCTATTGGAAAATTTTGAATTGAGCTAACTCTTTATAAATCAGATTACGTCACATCAAAACAGTTCCAAACATCTATGCTCGCGTTCTTTGACATACTCCCCCCCCCCTTATTTTCCTAG